TTCCTTTCGAAGCTCTCTTTTTGCATAGCGCGCAGATGTACGGCCTCGCGTTAACGCTAAACTAAACCATATACCCGGCTTCGCCGGTGGGGCGCGGGTGGGCGCGGTTGAGGAATACGAAACTGCGCAACCACCAGATTTCCGAGATTTCGACAGAAGGGAAGTTAATGCAGCGCAATGACTTTATTGCTTTTTTTAAGCGTTGGAATGGCTCAGAATTTAGTTTACAACGTTAAATTATCACTGTTTATATTGCTGAGAGTTTTCACTCTTCGCGTTTACCATGGCAACGTTGCTTTCTTTCTCTCGTGTTCTGTCGCTCTCTTTTCCGATCGTTCACTCGGGACCCCGGGTGTCGGCGCACGGGATTTGCCGCTCCTCCTCACCCACCTTTACCCCCCTGGGTTATTTCAGTTAATACAGTACAAAACAATTAAGTTATTAACGTCTTCAGTGACTAAAATTGGTTTCTTTTAATTGCAACTGTTCATAAAATAAAATAACTCTTTGCATAAAAATAAATTCTCCAAACCTAGACATGCGTGTATCAAGGTCTGGCCACACTGTCCGCAAAGTCGAACCGGTCGAATCTGGTGAAAAGTTTCGAAGGTTCGTCGAACCGGTTCGACCCAGTCGAACCCCGAAAGTTCGACCTAAAAATCCGGTTCGACAAAGTTCTCGACACCCCTAAACTCCTCTGTCGCACTTACTATCAAGTTCACAACTGCTTTCCCTTCTATACCGGAACTGACGTCAACGTTTCAAAGCTATTTTGAAAATAAAAAATAGGTGGCGCCCTAGGCGCTCCCCCTTAGGCAACGTTACTGAAACACTCAGTTGGGAAACTCCCATAGAGACAGCTTTGAAAAAGTGGCCCCAATCTGTCTCCGAGCACCGAGCTAATGACGAACACAATGCCACCATTTCTCCCGCAACGGCCACTCGAAGAACTGCACGTGACTTCTATTTTGGCTTCAGAACAGATACAGCGGTAGAGGTTACAGGGATGCCACCCCCGTCTCCCCGGCGGACGCGCCGCATTCAGCTACTAACGTTAAAATGCACCTAGGTCAGGACGTGCTACCTGAAAGGCCCGCTGAGGCATGGTTGTATGAAAACAATATTAATTGTTCCGCAAAACCTTGCGAACTAAAGATGATAAAAACATAACGCGCCCATCATTTGGTACTAAACTCCAATAAATTCCATACAAAAAGAGTCTTTTCCGTTTGTTTTTACGCAAAAACAGGCTTTCAAAAAGCTCAAGGGGACCACAGTACAGACAAACGATAAAGAGTGGCGCTGTTGTCGCATTTAGCTCGGTCTCGGTGGACGCCAGCGGCCCAGGTTTCGACGGCGAGTTTCCCAACTAAGTGTTTTAGTAACGTTGCCCTTAGGGAAGTATTCTCCCCTTCCGTCTTCATCTTTCCTTCGTTGATCGGAGCGACGAGTCGTAAGTTTCATCGCTCTTCGAGCCTTTTCTTTGTTCTCCGGAGATTTCAACCGATAGAACTCGGAGAGGCTCACTCTCGTCAAGAGATTGACTTCGCCTTCTGCGAGGTTTTAGAAGAAACTTTATCCGACCGCTGAGTAAACAATTTTGAACCTATTTGTCGCACGTCCGCTATCGGTGCTAGGCCTAAGTTCTCGGGCCCCGGCCTCGAACAAAGGCAGTAGAGTTTCAAGCAGCGAAGTTTTAGTGGCTTGAAGGACCCGTTCCCGCTCACGTCCTATGGGCTCCGGACAAAGCAGGACTATTTTCGGTTTACAATAGGGTCCGATCCCCCTTGTTGTTCTATGGGCCCCGGCCCCGAACAGAGGCGGCGATCTTAAACTACTTCCGGCGTCCTCGCTCGCGTCCTATGGGCTCCGGCTCCGGACAGAGCAGGACTATTTTCGGTTTACAATAGGGCCCGATCTCCCTTGTTGTTCTATGGGCCCCGGCCCCGAGCAGAGGCGGCGATCTTAAGCTACTTCAGGCGTCCGCGCTCACGTCCTATTGGCTCCGGCTCCGGACAGAGCAGGACTATTTTCGGTTTGCAAAAGGGCCCGATCCCCCTCGTTGTTCTATGGGCTCCGGCCCCGAGCAGAGGCGGCGATCTTAAGCTACTTCCGGCGTCCCCGCTCGCGTCTTGGGAGCTGCGGCTCCAAACGACGCGGCGCGGTCTTAGACAGCCACAAGGGCTATTCAATAAGCCAAACTGTCCGATCCCCCTGTTGTTCTATGGGCCCCGGCCCCGAGCAGAGGCGGCGATCTCAAGCTACATCCGGTGCCCCCACTCGCGTCTTGGGAGCTCCGGCTCCGGACGACGTGGCGCGTTCTTGAACAGCCTCAAGGGCCACACTTAGCACCTTTATCCCTTTCGTTCGACAACGGAGATCAGTGCGGCGGTAATCGTTTCTAACCGATATGTGACTTTCTCGGGCTTCTCAGATGTCAACCGCCGAGATCGTGGAACTCCAACGAACGGTGGCGAACATCGCTACTTCGGTAGCGGTGCTCACCAACCGCCTCCCTCCGTTAGCCACGGGGGATGTCGAACTCCGACATAGTGAGCGGAGCAACTCGCCAGACCTGGACCCTTTGGGTCCCGCTGACGAGCCCCATGCCTGGTTGGGGAGACCGACGGAGGGCCGTCCCCGAGAGGTGGACCCTGCCCTCGTCGACTTCCTCAAAGAGCACTGGGGCCCCGAAGGGCGCGCGGAGCGGTGCAGGGCGGCCCTGACGAGCTTCCCGCGACCGCGGCTCCCCTTCGCCACAGTGCCGGAGTTAAATCCGGAAATGAAGGCCCTGGCGAAGGAGAGGAGCCGCCGTCCAGAGGGTGGCTCGGAAGGGCCCGCCAACGTCGCTGCCCGGGACCAGGCACTCCGAGAAAGCCAAGACGGAGTGGCCGCTGCTATGGGGCCACTGGTTGGCCTATTAGAGATCGGCCTCACGGAGGAGGCCATTGACCGAAAGACGGTGGCTGACCACGTGGGGGCAGCTACCGCCCATCTCGGGCGGCTCTTCGCGTCGCTCTCCCGCGAGCGCCGGGAGGGGGTGATTGCACGAGTGGCCCCAGACCTCCGCCAGATGGTGGCCCATGACGGTGGGGACGAGGGATCCCCACTGCTGTTTGGAGAGGGCTTCCTGGGGCAGCTGCGAACGCGGAACGAGACCATCAAGGTCCTCCGGGAAGCCCGCCAACCGCCCCCTCCCGCCGCGGAGCCAGCAGCCAAGAGGTCCCGCAGCTCGGCTGCCCCAGGGACCAGTGCCCAGAGCCGGAGTGTGGGCCGGCAGCCCTTTCACGGGGGGCCCCCTTCCCGAGGCTACACGAAGGAGGCCTACCTCCGCCAGGGACATCGAGGCAACGGTAAGCCCGCACCTCTTAGCACTGCCGCCCGCGGGCCGACTGGCATATTGCCGCGAAGCGTGGAGGTTACTCACCCACGATGCTTGGGTCCTTCAGACAACACAGGGGTACAAGCTGGAGTTTGCACAGGTACCAGCGATTCAAGGGTTGCACAACGTGCCGACCCGAGGGCAGTGAAATCAGGTCCGGGAGGCAGTGTCCGAGCTGGTCAGAAAGGGAGCGGTCTCTCGGGTACCACCCTCCGAAGTGAAGTTCCTCTCCCCCTTCTTCATAGTACCAAAGAAGGACAACAAGGTGCGCCCAATTCTAGATCTCCGACAACTAAACGAGTCGGTGCAACACAACCACTTCAAGATGGAGGGGTGGCACTCTGTGAGGGATCTTATCCAGCAGGGCGACTCCATGATACGTATCGACCTGAAGGACGCATACCTGTCTGTCCCAATCTGCCACCAGGACCGCCCCTGGCTCGGCTTCCGAGAGGGGGACAGGGTCTACCGTTGGAACGTGCTGCCATTTGGCCTCAGATCGGCACCGAGAGTTTTCACAAAACTACTGAAACCAGTCGCGGCCTATCTCCGGTCCAAGGGACTTCGCATTGTCATGTTCTTGGACGATATCCTTGTCATGGACCAATCCCCCTCCTACTCGCAAACCAGGGACATCTAATCGTGAACCTTCTACAAAACCTGGGTTTTGCCGTAAACTTGGAGAAGTCGGTACTGACACCAGCCCAGGACTTGTTGTTTCTGGGACTATCGATAGACTCGAGACGATTGACGCTCGAGCTCCCTGGAGAGAAACTCGCCAACCTGTTAGACCACCTACAGCAGAGGCTAGAGCAACCGGTGATCTCGGCCCGCCAAGTCGCAAGCTTGGCGGGACAACTGAATGCATGCCTAATGGTACTGCCGGAGGGTTCCTTTTATATCAGGAACCTTCAAACAGATTTGAGACGGGCCCTACAGAGAGGTACATACACGACCACTCTAACACTATCCAGGGACACGCGGCAGGACTTAGCGTGGTGGATCCGAGCACTGAGGAAGACCCCAAGGGGCCAGATCAAGACACCCCCAGTAGTACAGACAATACAGTCGGACAGCTCGTTGAAGGGGTGGGGAGCATGCTCGGAGGGGTGGACGATCGGGCATCACTGGACACCACTCCAATCCACTTGGCACATCAATGCCCTGGAGCTGATGGCAGCCTTCCTGGCCCTTCAGGCGCTAGCAAAGAATGTGTCTCGGGGCTCCATCCTCCTCGAGCTAGACAACACAGCAGCAGTAGCGGCCATCAACAGGAGGGGCAGCACCTGCTCTCCACAACTCACCAGGATAGCCCACGAGCTATGGTCGTGGTGTTGGGCGAGGGGAATATCAGTCAGGGCGCAACATATTCCGGGGCACATGAACACGGATGCAGACCAAGCATCCAGGAGAGTGATGGATGCCAGCAGTTGGAAGCTGTGCCCGTTCACATTCAGCAGGATCAATTGTCTGTGGGGCCCCGTGCACACGGACCTTTTTGAAGACTTCTCCAACCACCAGGTGAGGCACTACTACAGCTGGAAGCCGGATCCTCAGGCGGCAGCAGTGGATGCTCTCAGCCAGGACTGGACGGGTCAGGGCCTCTATACCTTCCCACCGTTCAGCCTTGTGAGCAGATGCATTGCCAAGTTGCAGAGCTCCAACAGTCCGCTCATTCTAGTAGCTCCAGTTTGGCCATCTCAGCCATGGTATGCCTCGCTGCTGCACCACTATTACGAGGAACCGCGTCTTCTTCCCCAATCACACGACCTACTGCGCAGCCACGACGGGCAGGTACATCCAATGCTCAGCACGGGGAGCCTGACACTAGCAGCATGGAGACTGACCAACTCCAGCAAACTCATAGCCAACTTTCGGAGCAGGCTGCACACCTCATTGAGGCATCATGGAGGCGGGGAACACAGCTCACCTACACCTCTTGCTGGCGCAGGTGGGAACGCTGGTGCCATTCAAGGACTGTTGATCCCTTTTCTCCCACTCTAAAACAGGTGCTCAACTTCCTCGCTAGCCACTTTAAGGAGGGCCTGGCGTATCGCACTATAGGGTGTTACCGTTCTGCCTTGTCTCAGATCTTGCATAACTTTGACGGTTGCCCTCTAGGGGAACACCCATCAGTTGTGCGCCTTATGAAGGGAGTGTTTAATTCTAACCCCCCCAAACACCGATACCCCACAACTTGGAGGGTTGAAACGGTGACAACCCTCCTGCAGTCGTGGGGTCCTAACAAGGATCTTAGCCTCAAGATGCTCACTAGCAAGCTAGCTATGCTATTAGCCCTTGCCTCAGCAGGCAGGACGTCAGACTTGTGCCTGCTTTCAACATGCCACATCCGTAAACAATCCGCAGGTTGGGAGCTTGGGCTCAGTGGCCTCAGAAAGACTTCTGGGGCATCTAAACCCCTTCCCACCCTCTTCTTCCCAGCATTCGAAGAGGTTCGGGAATTGTGTCCAGTGGAATGCTTGCAGGTGTACCTCGAACGAACTGCAGGACTCCGAGGCGCCCACACGCAGCTTCTGCTCACTACGCAGAAGCCTTTCCGCCCAGCAGCACGGGACACAGTAGCTCACTGGATAAAACACACACTAATGCTTGCGGGCATTGACACGTCGGTTTTCAAAGCGCACTCAACGCGAGGAGCGGCCACCTCCAAAGCTGTGGAGGTCGGAGTACCACTTGCCGACATCTTAGCAGCAGCCGACTGGTCCTCCGAGGCGACATTTAACCGCTTTTACCGACGGCAATCAGATACCCGGGCTCACTTTGGAACCCAGGTGCTGAGAACACATGCGAAAGCTTTGAACAAGCAGTTGTGAACTTGATAGTAAGTGCGACAGAGGCTGAAGTATAATTACCAGTTCTGACGAATGGTACTTACCTGAAGTTAGAGCGGGAATTATACGAAGCCTATGGAAGCACTTACTATCAAGTTCACACTCCCACCACATCCCTGCCCATTTTCGGGGTAAATTATCACATTCTCTTCCCTGTCGCAGGTCGAGGTGGTTCAACATGGCACCAGAGGTAACGCATAGCGTGAGAGGTCCAACCAGGTGCCATCACCAGAACAGGAAATAAAAGTGTTCTGAGTGCACAAGTGCCTATACTCTATCTTTCTTGTGGGGGCCCCACCATCTCAATGCAGCCGCAAGCTGTGCTGTAACCATTAACTCGGAAAGATGAAGACGGAAGGGGAGAATACTTCCCTAAGGGGGAGCGCCTAGGGCGCCACCTATTTTTTATTTTCAAAATAGCTTTGAAACGTTGACGTCAGTTCCGGTATAGAAGGGAAAGCAGTTGTGAACTTGATAGTAAGTGCTTCCATAGGCTTCGTATAATTCCCGCTCTAACTTCAGGTAAGTACCATTCGTCAGAACGGGTAATTGAAAAGGAATGTTTGTTGCCAACATACTTGCTCGAGCTGCAAACAATATATTGCCGTATTTGGTGAACAAAGAGTTGTAATATGTTATTGCGAGGAAAGCATTGCACTCTGTTATTGTGAGGAAAAAACATTGTATTTATGCATAATGCAAAACACTTGATATAAACCGAGAAGTTAAAACGGATTTTCATAACTGGTAACTTCAGCACACGCAACCTATCTCGCGGGTACGGTTTCGGCTTCCCTAAACCAATCGGGCGCTGATGGTAAGGTACACTATTTGGAATAAGATAAGCTGATGAACTGGTTAGGAAACAGTTAACGACGTCTGTTGTGGTGCCAACCTCCTGCTTCTCACGTGGCAAGAACATTTCAAAAGGACCTGGAGTTTCCTTTTATCTTTTTTATTCGTGAGACTCAGAATCCGGTTTGCATGACAAAGTGTTTACTGTGCTTGCATTACCGTAAGTTTAAAGTTTGGCACTGAAACTAACCAAAACTAAACTGATAGAAGTCATTACCACATTACGCTAAACATTAATTTGTTATTGTATTTGTCACTGTTTTGATATTAAGAACCTGCAGCGCGTAAGCTTTAGCGCACGCTCATCGTATTCTGCCGGGCTTTAACTGGGCGCAAGACGAAGTGTCGTCAAGGGCAGAAACCTCGAGGCGAAATCTAGTGGGTTCTTAACCAGTCCTGTTGTCATTAGAATACAGTAAGCGATTTTATGATTGTGACTTGATGTTTGGCGACTTCGTCAGAATGCTGCTCTTAGGGATATTTTGATGTACCGAAATTTTGTTGTCTGGAATAATTAACATGCTCACTTCATCCCACGAATAAATATGATCACGTAAACCAATTTTTAATGTTTTTTTTTATTTTTTGCAAAATTAAGTTGTTACAAAGTATGACTTTTTCAGTAAGATAGAAATTGTTGCAGGGAAATTTGAACAACTTGACAACCTCAGTTGTGGAGCTCCCACAGAAGGGGAGTTTCACAACCCTTTCACTCGCTTCAATCTGCCTCCCGTCGTTTGAAGTTTCAAAACTATGTTCCATAGAGTATGATGGAAGCCAGGTATATCGCTATAGGGCGGCTTCAGGCGCCCTAGAGCGAAACCGCGTGTAGCCAGGTAGCTCGTACAAGAGTGGCTTTAGGCGGTTTCGACATATCTACAATAAGGGGAACTGACACATCAAAATCATTTTTTTTTTATTATCCGAAACGATTGAAAACCCATGCCGGGACATTACCCTCAAAATTCGAAACTTGGGAATTCAGTATTTGTGAAGTAAAAAAAAAAAAAAAAAAGAAAAACAATTTCCAAATGTCGAATTTGAACTTCCCGCGCGATCCGCGCTAGTGCGGTGACGTCCAATATTGCGGAGTCGTGCGAGTCGACTTTCACGCCTCCGTTCCAAACTTGTCCAAACCGCGCCGTTGCCACCGCGACCCGAAGCAAGGAGGTGAGGAGGGGGAGATAACGGCGCCGTCTTACCGGGAAAAACCGGTTTGGTTTCCGCCGTGCGTGCTGTGCCGCCTGTCTATCGCTGCGAGCAGACGACGCTTGACATGTGAAAGGCTGCCCCGGCCAAGTCGCAATCAGACGGTCAAAACAACCCAGTTGTTTTGACCGTTTGACGATTTCCTTTTCCAAGTCAGAGGTCGTCGGGCGCCTAAAAAAGACCACTTCGTTCGATTCCCCGACTCGCCGATCATCATCTGCAATGTGCGTCGAGCGCCGCCATGTTTTCCGAGGGAGGATACAAATCAGGAGGCGACATCACACCGGACTCCGACTTTTGGTATTGCAAAAAGAAGGGCCGTCATGCGTTCGCAAATGCGTTAAAAAACATTTTGCGATTGCCGTTATTAAATTTTATAGAAATGTCGCCTACAAAGCTTCCAAATTTCATGATTTTTGACGTCACAATGAAAAGAAGCGAGGAGTTCAGACGCAAGAGAGAAAAACGCCATAAATAAAATGGCGCGCGTGCGCGTAAGAATTTTTTTTTTTTTTGCGATGCGGTATTTTTTTTTGCGTGCCTATGGCTACAATTTGCATCGTTTTAGACAATAAAAAAATAAGACCTTTGGGGTGTCAGTGCCCCTTTAACTCGCTACAAATAGATGACCCATTTTACATTCCTAACTCAACGTCGGTAATTGAATACCTAAAAAGTGATAACCCAGTAGGATGCAGCCACCGTGGATGCAGCGCTTTCAGTATCGACGTTGAAGAGTTATATTATTCTTGCAAGAGATGTAGGCGGGACGCTAAAATCCCTACAACACTACTCGTAAGGCGATATCTCAAATGGACGGCCGTATTTTGGGAAAAAGAGATCGAGATTGAACCAGGCCGACGAGGCGCGTGACGTGAAGATACCTAGTTTCCTCTTCTCTTCGTTTTGCCCCCTCATAGGCGGCGAGGCGGAGAAGACGCGAGGCCGTTCTCTCTCTCTCCCGGAGAAACATGACGTAAACATTTCTGTCAAATGCTCCTCCTTTTTTTTGTTGAAAAATACGGTTATTCATTCGAAATATCGCTGCATGAGTGATGTTATGGTGTTTGTAGCATCCCGTTGCACGCTTTTGCCGCCGTACACTGGGGGGTGGCCGTCTCCGGATTGCGGGACTCGCGCGGCACAGAACTACAAAACTACAGGACTACGGCACTACAGTCACTACAGTAGCGAAACCACGCGGAATTGTGTCGACGTTTTCGACGTTATGGAAACCGCAGGAACTGCGTCCAAGACAGGCAGGTTTTGCTGCCGGCTGCCTGGGTGCCTTCCCCCCTGAGTTCGGTTCTGTTTTCCGATGCCGAATGCAACCGGCGTTCAACGTGGTTCTGTGTTTGTGCGTGTCAGCAACATAGCTGCAACATCGTGATGGCAGTGTTGTCGGTTGTGAACAGAAGACTGGAATTATCGCCGATGTGACCGTGTGTTCGCGTATCAGTGGTGTAACAAGAAGATGAGATCGTAAACTGTTGGGCATTGATGCCGCTGGTCGGGCCGTGATCGGAAGGGGCGGGGTGTCGCATGTTGACATTCCGCTTTACATTAAAAAGTTTAATACCACTTGTGGGATCACGTGCAATCGATCAACGTGCGGATAGTCAGTCATGTTGGAACGCTGGTCTGAACAGTAGAAGCTTCTATCGTATACAGTGGCCAATGTGACTGTCGGAGTTGTCTCGTCCCCGAGAGCGATTGCGCTCTGGGGCAAGGACTGAACAGTACGAAATCGTGACGGAAAGTACGTATATTTACAGTATGAAATTTCGGCATTAAAAAACAATGGTAGGTAAAATCGCAAAAAAAAAAAAAAAAAAGCTACCCTTTATTTTGCTGTTTAAATATACTACGGTTCCTGGAGAAACTGCCCTCCGTGGCGCGCTGGAATGAGTGCTAGAAGTTTTCGGGCTCGCCACGGCGTAGCTCCGTACACTTGACACCTGCCACAAGTCGCGGCTGTGACTGCATTCAAGTTGATCGAAAGGCGATTTCTCAGCCCGTGAAGCATCACTTTCAGCTGAGTGAATATCCGCTCTACAGAGATTAATTCAAAACGGCAATTGCAGCTTTGCGCGAACAGCACAAATATAAAAACCAATAGAAATACAGGCTACGACGTGCCGTGTGGGGAAACAAACTCATGGCTTCGAACCGCATTGGAGCGGCTTGATTTATTGGCTTTCAAATAATTACGGCATGATCGAGCGTTTACTTTTTAATAAGAGATTCATCCCCTGAGCCATTCAAAATACTCTCAGAGGTATAACATTGCTGGGAAAAAATCAACATGCTGGGAATATGTTTTATTGCTTAAGGAGTCACCGAAAAGTTTCGTACGTTCAAAACGACCAGTATAAAAGACGGAAACGCAGAGCAGGGGTGTTGTGTTCGGGTTAGTGTGGTGTTCAGTAGTAATGATATTTGTGTGCCGTGTATGTGCTCAATGTATGTTCACCTGATGCTCGTAATAAACGTAATATGTGTACAGTAGAGAATCCCCAAGCGCAGTAGTGGCCTAAGAGAAGCTAATTATTTTTTGTAGAACATGAATTGGGCGGTACCTAGCGCCACCTAGCTTAGCTACTTGCAATTACTCTGCTTGACCCCTCCATCTGGTGGCTAGCGATTTAACCTTCTTTCACGCTACGCGATAAACAGCGGCTTCGAGTTTGTTCTTTCGAGAGCGGCTTTTGGTTTCGCGATTTGAGTTTGCCCTTCTCCGTGATGTGCGGTTGACGAAGGAATTGTGACTCGAGGAACACCGAAGGTAAGACGCAAAGTGCGCGATGTAACTAGGTATATCGGTTGTCTCCGTTTAACATCGCAGTGCTGTCGACGAGAAGACTGAGTAACTGCTTTCAAAACGCAAGTTTCTGTACCTGTGGGGGGAACCTGGCTTCGGAAATAAACACAGTTTGCGGAAAGCTCGTGTTACGCTTTCATTTGCTGCTGCTCTCGTCCCGTACAAGAGACGTAGCGTCCTCGTCCAGCCTTATTTGGCTCGATTTGCTCGATTCGGGGCCGCCATATTGAGATGCAAGCGACGGAGGAACTTTGCTCCCCTGCTTCAGGGACAAAAGTTTCTCCCTTTCTAAAGGAACATAGGTTACAAGACCGTTCCTCCCCTAAGGGAGGACTATCCATACCCTTTTTCTAAGAGTGCAGTGTGGTGTGACGAGGGGGAATCTCGTCGGTGCAGCGTAAGGGCTGCCCTCCGCTGTATGGACTCGAGAGATTCCTTATACGTTGTTGAAAGGGGGGGGGGGGGGGGGGGTGCTTTTCCGCGCAATTTTCTTTACACCGCAATTTTAAGTAGTTTATTTTAGGGGGTACATTTTACAGCGTATGTATATCGCCATGTGTCCGTCGCTGTGTGCGTTATTGTGTTTACATGCCACTACTAGAAGCTCGTTACATGGCACGTAAACAGCGTCTCTGTAAGGATCACGGCCCCGGGGGGGGGGGGGGGGGGGGGGGGGAGGGAGGGGAGGGGGGGTTCTGGAGTCCCCATGCATTAGTCCCTAGCAACGGTTTGTTTGGACCCAGACGCCATGTTGGGACGTAGTCACTTACGGGGTCAATTCCCACACCTCACTCACTCCAATTGAGGCGCCCCTCCACTTCCCCAAGGAAGGCGGGAGGGCCGGCGCTGGCCAATCGCGACGACGAATAGGCGGCTTCTTCTTCTTTTAAGCGTTGTGAATGAAAGGGGGGGAGGAGGAGGAGGAGGGGAGGGCCAATAGTGTGATCCATCTGGCGCGGTCCATTCGAGCCAGGCGTCTCTCGTGTCCTGTCTTAGCCATCGTCTCTCTGGCCTCAAAGCCCGACCGGCCCAGGTCTCCCTGGACTGTTTCATTGGGGCTGTTCGACAGGGCCCCGACGGCCATCCTCCCAGCTTCGGACTGCCTTGTATCAAGAAAGTTGCGAGCGGTCAATGACAGGCAAGTCACTCCATTCCCGAATGTGATTCCCGGAACCACCACCATCTACCACAGGCCCCTCATGACCTCAAACCTGTTGAAGGCCCAGAGAGATTTCCTTTCGAGAATCCATTTACCTCTCGGAGCACGCCTGCGAATTCGTTCCTCGTACAGTCCCAGAGAGTTGGGCCCTTCTGTATTTGAATTCCGAGATATTTGTATGTCTCAACCCAGTAGATTTCCGTGCTTCCCGCTCCCGCGAGTGAAGCCACCGGACGGCCATCTTGCATTTTGAAAAATCGCGTTTCTGGAGCGTTGCGGAGCTGACGGCAGCTTGATGAAGACGCGTTTTCTACTCGCTCGTCGTCATTCGCGGAAGAAGCTCTTTAAAACCCTGTGTAAGCCGTGAGATCTCGCTGTTGAGAACAGTGGAAATTTTTACGGAAGCGCAGTGCTGCATGAAAAGGGCACAACTCGTCGAAAGCAAGTTTCGTCGGTCTCGCGGCGTGATCAAAGCTTCCTTGGCACGCCGAAGCTTGGCACGCTACGTCTCTGTGCCTCTTGGATACCGATCGAAAATCGGTGCCGCGGCAAAGTTTTGGAGGTGTGTCGCGCGTAGATGTGTTTGCTTCATATATCGGCCACGGAGTTCTGGATCGTCCAGCAGTTTCGGCGAGTTGCTATCAATAAAGGGAAAAAACAATATGTGCGGTTGCCCTTGTGCACTATTGACCATGGCTATGTTCCAAATCTACTCCAATGGATCACATGGCAGCACAAATCGAGCAACGCTGTGGAGCAAGAAGGATTTTCGAAGGCAAAACTATAAGACGGCGATCATGAAAAGTTTTCAAGCGCGGCCCATACGGTCGTGTGCAATCTGTTGACCAATCACAAAAGTAAGTTGATAATGAGCCAGCACTTATCAGTGATGAGAAGCTGCTGTGCGCGGTATTTTGTAAACTGTCTAACGACCAAGAAAAGTCATGCCACCCCTCTCCCCCTCCTGCGTCGCCACTGGACGCTAGATCAAGCTGGTTTCTGTACCGCGAGTGCCGCAGGTTACAAATACAGTCGTGAGAGTAAAGTAAAGCGATGCTCCATAGGCACACACGATTTCACACACATTGCAATCGCAAAATACAACCACACGGTGTCGATTCTTGATTGGAAATCAAACGCGCGAAGCGCTTCGGCGTGCCAAGAAAGCTTTGATCACTCCGCGAGACCAGTGAAACTTGCTTTCGACGAGTTTCGCCTTTTTTCGTCGGCCCTGCGCTTCCGTAAAAATGTGCACGTGCGCTCAACGGAAAGCCTCACGGCCTACACAGGGTTTTAAAAAACTTCTTCGGCGAATGACGACGAACGAGTAGAAAACGTATCTTCAGCACGTTGCCGCCAGCCTCCGCAACGCTCCACAAACGCGATTTTTTGACATGCAAGATGGCCGTCAGATGGCTTCACTCGCGCTGCAGTGACCAAGCGGGGATGCGCGATCCAGCTGGGGTGCCTCCATGTGCGCTTCGCATAGAGTGATGCCAACTGCCTGTTTTCCTTTCCCAGATCGTCTCCCACCGCCATTTTGTGCCTTTCATTGTTTCCCCGTGCTCCGAAAAGTTGCCTTTGTGTCCATCGGTCCCCCCCATCCGAGGGGGAAAACGCTAATCCTCCCTCCGTGGGTTCCACAACGCTGCTCCGAACTTGTGAGATAAGGTGCTTGTTTCCCGGAGGGTTGTAAGCCCCACGGATCATCGCCGAGAACCAAGATGGCTGCTGGTCTGTCGGCGAGTGGTATTACAAAGAATGGCATCACCCTAGCAAAGCGGACATGAAGGCTCCCTAGATCCCTAGAGCTCCCTAGAGCATACTGAAGACTGCGAAGACGAGATGAATGGCAACAAAACGCAAGCTGGGGCCCTAAGCTGGACGCTTGGCGAAAACGACGGCGAGAAATTTGGCGGCCGCGATTGGCCAATGCCACACTTGACCTCGGCGCCGGCTAATCATAGCCGCCGAATTTCTCAACGACTTTTCCGCCAAGTGTCCAGATTAGGGCCCCTGGATGCTGCCAGAACAAAAAAGTGGAAAGAATGAGCACAAAAGTTTTAAAGCTACAGAATTTAATTTGTGACATGAAGAGCAAACAAATCCTGACTGAAAGTGCAGAGAAAGACCTGGAATCGTTCGGAGAACTTACGGAGGAGCTTCTCAGCACATGGAACTCTAATCAACGTATAGAGCATGCAGCTCCCGGAAGGTGCTACAGCCAGAAGATGCGCAAATTCGCAACGACCCTCTACTTTAATTCCCCCAGGGCTTTCGTAGAAGGAATGTTTCCCTAGCCGGCCATCAAGACGCTTCGCTCTTGGCTGAAGGTGGCAAGTGCTTGGCCAGGATTTACTCACGAGTCTTTCAAACACCTGAGGACAACCCTTTACAGCAATGTGAAGGGTTGTCCCTGGACAGCAATCTGTGTCCAGCGTTGGCCTTCTCTGACGAGGCCGTCTCATTCAACACTGCGGCTTTGCTATCTAGATGTGTCGGTTGAAAGCACGAAAGCGAAGGAACTGGAGGGATACCCAGGCAATGTCTGGGATACAAAGTGCTTGCTGCTCTTCTCTGCTTTGCACTTAGAAGGTGATGCACCAAAGGACCTCCGAAATTGGAGCCTTGATGTAGAAGTGGTCCTGTTTCCGTCTGTTTTCGGCCATCTTTGTTATCTTCATTTCTTTTCCTGCGAGGGAAAGTAACGACGACATGTCGCAGTGCTGACAACAAAGCAGTCTGGATGGTCCAACAACCTTAAGTTCCCACAGAAATTCTCTGAATAAGTGTGACAACCTTCTAACGTTTTGCTTTGCAACGACTCGAAATGTTAAAAGTGCTTTCCAGTTTTGACTGATAAACTGATTTTAGCGATGTGCCTATTGGAGTGCCAGCTGAATGTGGAAATATATTGGCTTTGGCATTTAGTTATGATATTGGAATGATTAGACAAAGCCACCGTAGCATACATCATTATTAGCATAGGATAATCACTACAGCCTCAAACGTTCACTAAACATGGGCCAGTTAGTCTGGGGAACGTGCCAGTGACGTAGTCTGGGGAACGGAGGGTGCTTATGGGGATAAAAGCCCCCTCTCTGGAAATACATTCAACCCCCCCCCCCCCCCCCCCCTTAAAGGAAATTTTGCTTACGTCAATGAAAACAGCATGTGTGCCACACTCATGTGCGAGCAGCACATATGACCATGTTAGTTTTTATATTTAAATGACATTTTAGCATATGGGCATATTTATTTGGAAATTAAGCCCACTGTATCGTCGTTGTGGCAAATCGAAATCTCTCATTTCCTTCGGAAAAGGGCAACAAATCTTAGATTGGAGACCCCTTTGCAGTATTTACAGCGCAGTGATATTTTGGATTAGGAAGCGATGTACTCACCAAATAGTTCCCGGACAGTGTCATCCGGAATGCTTGTCGGAAAACCTGAACAAAATCGGTAGAAAGTCTCAAATTTTATTTATACCCCACTTTTGGTGCCGGGACAAATATTTCTTGCAAATGCAAAAACTACACGTTTTCTAAGTATTAAAAAGGGGTCTGAAGTCAATTCTGAGATCGTCCTTTTTGGCGACAACTGAATCTAGACGCTCTAAGCATCCGAACAAACCCGAAATCACAATCGTGCGTAGCTTATTTCCTCGTTGAAAGTGTGTTCAAAGATCGCGACACGCCCTTTTTGGGAAGACTTCCCAGTGAAGCGGTCGACGAAGGGCGCTTGCCGGCGAGTTGCAAGCGATGGCTTCGCCCGCGGAGAAAAAGAGGGGTCTTATCCGAATCTGTATACATATCAGACTCTTTTCGAAACGAGTTATAGTAAAATCATGCGAAATCTGCGCGTATTGTAGGGCTTTCATTGGTCCACACAATGTAGTCCGCGAGAAAAAAGAGTCCGCATGTTTTTCTATTGTCCTGAGATGATTATGCGGTTTTGCAATATAGGACTTGGTGTATGCGGGAACTAGCACCTTTCAAGCAATATAAGGTCAAAAACGACCTTTTCCAAAAATGACTTCAGTGGCCCTTTAAGATCATCTTTAATTGGCTGACTTTTAATCAAGTTCAGGCAAACTGTCAAGTCCACTCTTTTCAAATTTTGTAACATAATTGTTGCTGACGACACGTGTGGTTTGCCCAGTTTTGCGAACCCATACAGTAGTAACGGTCTCTATATTCAGCTAACTCAACTAACCTTTTAATGCGAATGGTAAAGGAAGCCATGTCTCTCTTAGTTGACTGTGAAGTTTGAAGTCTGGCAAATAGGAACTGACCTGTGTAGCTTTCATCGTCGTGAACAACAGAAATGAGTACATATGTGCAGTCTGGTGACATCAGGGGCCGCAGGACGCTGATGTACCTGGAAACGTTCGGGAGAATTTTACTTGATCTCTCGCCTTGACCGTTAAGGCTGATCGAAATCCTGATTTAACGGCCACCCACAGTGGAGAAACAAATGGTGAAAGGTATCGGGTGGGCGACCTATATATATGCGGATGGGACAGCAAACTTTTATTAAAAACGAGCGATAGACAACAACCTTCTACGAACCACGTGACAAGGGAATTGATATCGCGGACACGGCCAATTTGCGCTCCCCGGTGCGGTGCGTTAAACATGTGGGAGCTTTCTACGAATTCACCTATTACAGAAACAATACCGCAAGCAGCGGTGAGGGCGAAATTGGGCTCTATGGCGCGATAAACACGCGGAAACTCGCATGTCATGGGAACCAATACCGCAGATCGCGGACACGGCAAAGTCGGGTTACGCAGCGTGACAGACACGTGGAAACCCACTATACGAACTCGCTTGTCACGGGTATCGATACTGTAAATTGCTGACGCAGCAAATGCGCGCTTCACGCGGTGCGATAAAAACACAGAAACTCACTGCGTCACGGGTACCGATACCACAGATCGCGAGATCTGTGGTATCGGTACCCGTAACCCGTGTGATGTCCGAATCGAGGGTGAACGGTGTTTAGGAATTTTAACCCTATGAAAATTTAGCTAGCAAAAACGGGATGGGCGCGATCTCTCAGGGTAGGGCGTTTATACGGAATTTTACATATTTTACAATCATGTTCAGATTCTCTGACGTTTAATCTGCAAAACCTGTTCATTAGGGCTGAAAATCGTTCTTTTTTTTTTCTCTTTCTACGTTATTGGGAAGGGTAAGATGCCTCCCTTCTTCGAAATTTGGTGAGTTAATTGCGTGAATTATTTTTTATGGCGTGTGCTAGTGTATATATATATATATATATATATATAAATATATATATATATATCAGTAATGGCTTAACTCACACCGTCTTTAGACTTGGGTGCGTAGTGACTTCAGAGAAGTACAATGGTTGGTCCAGTCTTCAGGGCTGCCTCCCCGCGATTGTCTACTTTTTAAGGCAGACAATAAGAAGTTTATAGACGCTCTGCAGCAGCTGTGCATGGACGCCGCCATAACTGACCTTCAGTTTTTGTTTCCTCTTATTCCGTTTATTTCACTTCATCATTACCATAGCAGGCCAGGTTATTGCCATATTAGATTCAACTGTGCCCTTTTCTAAAGCATCGGCCGTTGTAGAGAATCGTCAACTACCGTTTCAGTTGCTTGGCATCTCGGTAAGACAAGACAAGGTCAGCAATGGCGGCTGTAATTTGGCGCGTGTGTAAAGCGTCTATTAGATCGTCCAATACCTCCGATAACGATACCCGATAGCGATAGGATGCATGCTCAAAGGGGTCGGCTGAGTATCGTTATCGGAGTTAACAAAACGATCTACTAAAACTCCCAAAGAGAGCACCGCACTCGCTTAGCATCCTTGAAAGTCGCGGCAACCGATCGAGACAAAAGGGGTCTTGTCACGGGAACTATTTCCTTTCCGCCTCGGAAAGGAAATGATTTTGTTGACTTTCATTAGATGGGCGCTATGAAAACTTGTGTATTCCATATGGCGTGACACTCTGGTTCCTGCGACCGCCACACACAGCTGCAGATCTGGTAAACACGTGTTTTTTTTCCTTTGCAGTTACTCAGCGGAATTGCAGTATTTCAGAGGAAGGAGGCGTGTTTTCTAATTCTTGTGCCCCCCCCCCCCCCCCAAAAAAAAAAAAAAGAGAAGAAAATTGTAAATATTTTAGGATAAGAGTCGTTGCACTGCACCTTTAAAATTGGTGAATCACAGGTCGATTGTCCTCTATCAAACATTTGCAGTCTCTATTTGACGGAGTGTCCTCTTCTAGACATTTCATACTATTTTACCGATGGACCCCATCTTGCTTGATTGTGCTGGTGTTGATCATGTCATAGAAACATTAAGATTGTCGTCTTCAGCGGGAGTGGGCGGTGTTAATTCAAAGTTTTGAAAAATACAAAGCATTACGCTTCCATTATTTTAACTAAACGTTTTGGTAAATCCATTAGAGATCGTGTTCTCCCTTTAGATTGGAAGGTGGGGAAAGGGGTTCCCATTTACAAGACTGGTGACAAATGTTCCCTTTTAAAATATCGCCCAATCGCTATAAACAGTGTTCCTTGCGAACCCCTTGAGCACATAATATTTAACAACTTCTTTTGCCCATCCTAAGATGGATTTCGAAAAACATTTTCATGCGAGACATAGCTTCTATCAGTCACACATGACCTTCACTGCATCCTGGACCGAGGATCCCAGGCAGACTGCATTTTCCTAGATTTCACCAAAGCGTTCGATGAAGTATCTCATCAACTACTTCTTCTCAAACTGTCCAAGCCTAACATAGGTGCTAACGTTCTTGCATGGATTCAATCTTTTTTATGATTGTGGTCACAATTTGTTACAGTAAATAATACTAACTCTTCCTTTTGGTCTGTAGCCGCTGGGGTTCCCCAAGGATCTGTTTCAGGATCTTTACTCTTTTAACATATATTAACGACCTCCCTCTTAATGTTTCCTAGTCTATTTGTTTATTTGCTCATGACTGTGCGATTTACCGTGAGATACTTAATGATCATGATAACATCATGCTTCAGTCTGACCATCATATGGTCTATGAGGCTTAATACTAACAAATGTAAGTCCATGCGTGTATCTCGCCAGTCACACGAAACTCGCAACTATAGCTTTCTTAATCAAACTCAGCTTGACAAGGTATCTTCTTACAAATATTTAGGCGTACATATAACTTCTGACCTCTCACGGAAAACAGTTGTTCAGTATATGTATATCCCATTTAACGCTAACCGTATGTTAGGCTACCTCAGGCGCAACTTTTCATTTGCATGCAGGCATCTGTTTCCCTCAAGCTATTTTTTTTCCATAAAACTCTAGTTCGACCGAAGTTAGAATATGCAACCTCTGTTTGGGATCCCGGACAAGCCACTCTCATCACCGCGTTGGGAGTCATTCAAAATAGATCCGCTCGTTTTATTATTTCTAATTATCATTATACATAGAGCGTCACTATATGAAATTGACTTTATCACTCCCGCCCCTCTTCCTGCGACGTAAGCTTCACGCCTCTCTTTATTTCACTTTTTCTTTTGTAACCCTGTGCTTCGCAACAAATTAATCACCCATCCCTCTTATATTTCTGCTCATCATGATCATCAGCACAAACTTGAGGTACCTATCGCTATCACATCAACCTTCCAATCTTCTTTCCTTCCTCGCACATCCCTCGACTGGAACCACCTTCCCGGACCAGTTGCATCCATGACTGACACTCTGCTTTTTAGGTCTGCTCTTAATAATTTTTTTAAGTGTAAATAACTATACATTACATTGTTTTGATCCCAACTTTGCTCTCCCCCTCTGTAAGGCCTTCGGGCCCTGAGGGCAAGCAAATAAATAAATACATAAATAAAATGTTTATTCTAATTATGTTTATAATGGCACCTTTATTTGTGCAAAAAAAATATATATATTCAAGCTTACCTCGATCTATCTTCCTTGTTAACCGCTACAAGAGCGCCTCGATCCCAGATGATGTCTACCGGCCCCACAGATTCCCTGTAACAAATAAATGAATAACATCTTGGCCACAGCACACAGACATAGCCTGCGTGGCATGAGCAGTTTATCCGCAAAAGAAGTGGCCACGTAACGTTGGGGCGACGTTTAATTAAAATATATATTCCCCCATTACGGCTATGGATTATATAAGAGGCTGCTTGTCTCGAATACATTATTGTATTGCATGTAAAAAATAAGGGCATACACGGGCATTGCATGGTATATTTATGTTCTACTCATGTCGGTTTAAAACATGCGCTGGACGCACATTTCTGAAATGCTAAAAGTTCTAGAGTGAGTTTGTGTCTAAATATCCGGAAAGCCCGAACTGGCTTTTGGGGAAGACAGTTTCATTTCTGGAGTGAATCACCAAGACTCACATTTATTTGAAAGGAAAAACGTTGAACTTTCACTTTGAAGAACGACACAAATTTTACTTAGCGGTGACGCTTTCAGAGCACTTGGACACTCACTTTTTCAAGTCGAACACGCTGCAGATGAAGATCCGCAACCGCTTGTCAACCGTCTGTAACAAACAAATTTTAAACGATAAGTTACCGATTGACTCCGGCCATCCCTTGCTCGCTTTGGCGAATGGTCAAATTCGATCGATACGGCTCATGTGTTGAAAAGCAGAACCACACTTTGTTCTACACTTACTTGGAGCAAGATGAATGCTACGCACTCGAAACCGAAGCCATGAGAGCAGCGCTTGCTCACTGGAATCAACTGCTAAGAGTTCGTGCTGTGTACCCTTGCCCGTGCTCTGTGCCGTTAGTGTGAAAGCTTTGTTTCCACCCGCACTGTGCCCACGTGCCTCATAGAGAACCATGGATTCTCGAGGTCAATAACATCCGCGATTTTTGGTAGTTTACTTCGAAAAGATAGACCAGTAAGCAACACAATTATCGCTTGGAAGTTCTGCTACAAATCAGTGTTCCCACCAGGCTATGCTTTGACAAGACGTTTAAATTAAAAAAAAAAAAGGCGATCGCTTGTTTTTAATGCAAATCGGACAACTACGGGAAAAAAAAAGTACTTGCAGGGGGTTGTAGTGACGTCAGAGAGACACCGCGAGCTTTGATTGGTTCTGATTAAAGGATAGTGCGTAGACCTCAGTGTTCGTTGTTTTGAGGTCTACCCACTATTCTTCAATCTTAGCCAATCAGAACTCGTCGTTCTGACGTCACCACAACTCCTGCAAAAGCAGACGACGAACGTACTTGCACTCCGCATTGCTTAGGCGTACGTCATACATTTTTTCTCTAAACCTTTCACATGACGAACGTTTCAAGCCATCGCATTGCCGTTGACGGGAGAATCGAAAGTTGCACGGCGAATCGCGCTCCACATGAACAGCAAAATGACATAGTGCCACTAAACGCTGATTTCTGCATTATCATCGCACGAAGGCCTGTTTGGCAACAGACGCGAAAGATGGCGTCGCTGTCGTTTGGTATGTAACGAATCCACCCTATGGGCGCCTCAACGAACGATCCTCTTCCCACTAAGCTTTTGCCCATACGTATACATTCTCCCGTCTTGCTTCCCACGGTCGCCATATTCGGAGCGCTCCGTCAAACACTACCAAACAAACATTGTCAACACCTACCTCTGCGCGTATTTTGTCTTTTTCGGCAGTTTTTTTTTCTTTTAGTATTTGTAGTACGGGGCATGAAACGCATTGAAAACCGATACAACGGCACGATGCCAATGTGTTTTGACGGGTGGAGCCATGTTAGGCTTTCCTTCATTTGTAGTTCGCAGACAAATACCCATACGGTGCTTGTTAAAGTACATTCTCGGTGTTTATAACGGAGGTGCGCCTGCTAAAGCCGTGCTCGCAAAACGTGCATACCTGGAGAATTTTGCAATTGATCACAGGGCACGTGGTCTCTTCGTAGGCGAGCTTGTTTTCCTCGAAGAACTGGCGCGCCGTTTTTTCCACGTACTCGAGTCCCGCAACACGATGCCCGCGGTCGTAGAACCTGCGACGGTTGAACGAGCGTTTTGATTGGTCACGATGGCGTCCCCCTCCTCCCCGCCTGTCCATGCTGCTGGTCTTTCTCACTTGTTCTTGTTGAGGAAAAGAAGTTCAGTAGAGCGAAATGGATGCTGCAGAAAGTACGCGCTCAGCAGTAAAGTCATCACAATGGCCGATTATGTGACGTGAACTCGAGGCATGTATTACGGCGTGCACGTCAATCTGTCTGTTTGTCTACCCCAAGAGACCTTTTGCAAAGCGTGCAGCGTCCGCGGTGCCAAAAGGAATGCCGGGAAATCAGTGTCACGTGGGGCCAGGGAGCGCACAGGACTTGACGCCCGGCCTTTTGGCTCAATACCTTTGCTCGTTTTGATCTATATTAATGATATGCCTAACATTCCATATACCGAAGACTTCGTTTCATATGCGGACGACACAAATCTGTTCTGTGCGAGAGCCGAGCTTAACGACCTAGAAATTACGGCGAATAAATATTTATTCGGCAATCTCATCTGGGCTTATCTCTAAATATAAAAAAAATAATATATATACATTTTTTTTGCCCAGCAAACCGGGTTTTTACAAAGAACATCGTACTAATGTTTGAAAACTCCGAACTCGAGCGTGTAAATAACCCCAAATTCGTTGGAGTGTGGGTTTGGGGAGCACATGAATTGGACGCACCATGTCAACACAATAAGAATCGAAATCTCAAGATCAATAGGCTTGCTTCACTCTGTAAAACCTTTATTACTGGATCGGCTGAAGTATCAACTTTAGTACACTCTAGTATACTCCACGGTATATTACTGCTTTCTTGTCTTAGACAACCTAAACAAATATATCACACTTACAGCGACTACAAAAAAAGCTGTCCGCCTAATATATAATCCTGATTATGACGCGTACACATTACTGCTTTCGGAAGAATATAAAATCTTGAGCGTTCATCACTTATTCATATATAAACTTGCAATCTACATTTATCAGGACCGTAAAGTTCTGACACCAGCTCACCCATCACTCGGTATTCGACCTGACCATCATTATAGCACACGCCATGATGAGTTCATACTCCCGAAAATCAGAACAAATATGGCCGAACAAAACTTTAGCATATTATATCCCAAATTATTTTGAGACGCCTAGCTACATTCAGACACTTTTGACAAGTAGGCTTTCACCAAGCAAATACAAGCATCTTTTAAAGGAATCTTTGATGAATGAAAATCAAGATCAGCAGAAAACTTAATAAAAAATGAACTTATCTCTTTACACTATTGTTATGCTATTAAAATGTTATTTTTGTTGGTTTTGTTCGTATTTGGCAAAGCCTTTTTTTCGAACATGCATACTGTACACAATTGGAGCGTTTCTTTTTATTTTTTGTTCGGGTGCCGACAGTGATGCATTGTTGTATTCCTGTTTTATAGCGGTGTCGAGGCCTCGTCATACCATCTGGTCTTTTGCCTTGATGCTGCAGACAATGTGCAAGCAAATGTGCTGGGAAGGCGAGCAATTGCGCTACCCTCTCGCTGTCTTAAATGTCATGTGAGCAGTCTTGTGCCCGTTACTCCAAAAAAGTAGTTAATTACAATTACAATTACTTGGCCTAAAAAGTAGTAGATTACCGTTACAAATTACTCCCCGTAAAAAGTAACTGATTACTTCGTTACTTTACTCAATTACTTTTCCGTTACTTTAAAGAAACACACAAAATACCTGCAATATATACTGCGTGTTTGTGGGGGGAATTTCGGGCCCCATCAAAAATAAAACAGATTCAGTGCTATATCTACCGATTATTTTAGAATAATAATTTTACGACGATGGATCTATAAGGCTGTAAAGGACTGGAACAGCTGTTCGATATGAACGAATCTAGCGCTGTCCACCCGGGACAGAACTGAATCCCATGAGCATGCGACGAATGCACATGGGCGGCGGAGGCACGCACACCATTCGAAGTATGGCAACGGCAAACTTTAGAACACGACTCTCCTGAAGTAGTGGTTTTTCTACGGTTGCTATATATTGCCTAAATAGGGGCTGGTTTAGCCACTAAAACCAACTGGCTGTAAGACGTACATGCGGTACTTGCGTTTGGGCAGATTTCAGAGTACCGCTTGTTGAAGGTTGTTGTTATCCGGACTTGACCCACTTGATCTTTTTTTTTTTGGTCATCAAACTAATCAAAACTGAAACTTCGCACGAAATATTCATCCACAATCTTTCAGCCAAGCTGAGTTTTCCGTTTAGAAAATATTAAAAAATCATAATTTTCAGTGAACAGCAGGCTTCAATGTATCTCACGCGTTTACAGCCGCCTTGCGCTGCCTTAACTCCTGTGGAGGCACCCTACTGTGTCCAAGTCAGCCACTGTTTATTCTCAGAAAACTCGGGCTGGTGTTCCCTTTCCCTAAAATGTCGGAGTAAGTTCCCGTAGCACAATCCGCTGACGAGAACATTCTCGTTTCTAGGAATATGGGTTCAGCTTCGAAGTCCCAAGCCATTTTGGCTGTGCTCCCCGGCCACCTTATCGCCTGCTGTCTAAAGTTATTGTTTGAACTGACAGTAGTGTTGATCCTGCATTCTTTTTCTGTTCCAATGAGCTGCTGCTATCGCTTCCCTTATGTTTGTTCCTTACGCATCCGCTAGTGCGAAGTCAAGTGACAGATACCACAAAGCTGGTTGGTCCAGCCAGTATTTAGCTTTCACAGCGCTGTCAAAGATGAACAGGGTCAAGATCTCGTTACAATTTTTTTTTTGTCTGCGGGGTGGGTGTGTGTAGGCAGAACATCGACAAGCAAAGGACGGTCTCGTGTGACAAAAAAAAATATGCTGATTGGTTTTTGGGGGACAACACCCAGGGGGTGGGGCGGAAAGGATGGGGGGGGGGGGGGGGGGGGGAAGGGAGCGAGCGGACATCTGCACCACGGTCACAGTGTCCACGTTCGTACTCTTCACGACTCCCACTCGATGGTTTTATGGGCCATTAGTTTTCTGCTCTTTTGTGCGCTGGAAGCAGTCCGTTCGTTTTCCAAGTCGAAGCTTGTTGCCTTCATGTAGACAGTCGAATCCTCTCAGCCTGACTGCCCGTACGAACAAGTCCAGACACGGGCTCTGGCTAGGGTGTCGCGGTTTCTGTGAACTCCTTTCCTTCGCCAGCACCAGATCTCTTCGCGAACGAACCCCCGTCTTGTGTTACCATGCTAAAAGCGCGAAGGCCGTTGCATCGCCCTTTTTCCTCCCTATTTTTCCCTTTGACGGGGCAGAAGAATTGTAACGAGTAATTTCAGTAACGCGTTACTGAAAAAGTAATGAAATGAGATTACAAATTACATTTTCAGAAAAATAACGGATTAATTATAAAATTACTAGAAAAGTAATTAATTACAAGTAATTCCGTTACTTGTAACGGATTACTTCCAAGTCTGCATGTGAGGGTAAGGAGCGTGCAGGACTTCGCGCGCGGCCTTTTGGGATTATCTTGGAAAAAGTATTTTGCAATCACTTGGTTTTGTTGCCCTTCAGCTACCTCTTCAGAGCTCGCTCTCAGCATGCTCTTTATGGCTAGGTGGCTCAAGTCACCCCTCGATTCAAAAGGTTCTCGATTCGATTCATCATATTGTTTGCTAATTGACGAACCCTTAAAAGGTTTTGATTACCGTCCCTGAACTCGTGCAACTGTTGTCATGTGCGATAGGTCTCGCAAGAACCGGCAATAAGCGCGACCCTCCGCGGTGCCCAGACACGAATTGGCTTGCGATGCGATTTCATCAGCGCCAGTCACTTCAGGTTGAGCGGGTAATGGAGGAAGTCATACACAATAGACAATTTGGAAAAAATTACAAAAGGCAACACGCGAAGCGCGCAACGAGTGATAGTTACATCCCGCATGTTCTTCTTTACACCCGCAGCATCTGTCGCATGATAATAATGCGAAAGCCTGAACTGCCCCATGTAGCGCCGCCAGCGTTGTCCGTGACCACGAAAAACGGGCAACTAAAGAGTCCCGCTGCTCGCCTGCTCGCGTCGTCCGCTTCGGCACTTCAGTTTTCCTTCTATCGATTTTCCTTACAACCATAATTATCTAGCTCCTATTTCTCTACGTAATATATCTTATCATCCTTTAATAGTGTATTGCTGACTGTTTCTTGTAGATATATATTTCTGTATCTCACTCTCGCGTCGTGTGATATCTCGAACGACGGAGGAGCGTCCACGACTAGGAAGGGGTCGCCGCTTCCATTGGAGCATTGAAGCGACCTGCTCGTTGATACAACTTTGGAAGGATCGGCTGGAGGGCCTCCGACGCGTGCGATGAAACTCAAGCGCGAGCACGACGCCGAACCGAAAAAAGCAAAAGCATAGCAGAAGCACGGCAAGGAGCCGGGGCTCCGAGCAACGTTAGGACGCTGAGTGAGCGGGGAACGCTCAGGGTTACCGCTAATTGCTAAAAAAAAAAAGTTTGCTTGGGCTGAAAGTGGACTTTGTTGTTATATCATTTGACTGAACTCGTCATTTTGTATTTCGTAATATTTTGTTTCATTGAGGAAGACTTAAAAAATTATCTATATTGCCACAAAATTATTCTTCTGGCGTGAACGTGATTCACGCGTTTGCACGAGTTATGATACCTCAATCGCTGTAAACATCGTCTAGATGACATTTACTTGCGCTGTCTGGCACGTCAGAACTTAAAGGTCATTTGAAAATCCTAAAGGCCTTTGACGTAAAGGTCCTTTCAGGTGCCCGTCTGACATAGGTATTAGGTATTCTCCTGTAATCTTTGAACACCACCTTGATAGTCAAGCTGTATCTTTCACGTCCTCTCGCGGAGTCCAGCAGAGGGCCCAGATTTCACACAAGTGCCGCGTCAGCGTTCGGCTTGGATGAGTGTGGACACGAGTTAGAGCCGAACGCCGACGCGGCACTCGCGTCCAACTCGTGCCCCGTGCCAGTATAGGTAACCCGCAAGATCCGGCCCTAGGCCTCGCTGCGTACGAGCTGTCGAGTCGGCAGCTGCTTCCCAGCTGCCCTCGATGTCCGTGTATCCTCCGTTGTCTGCTACAGCATCCACCATACAGCCAGTTCCCGGCATTCCTTCGGGCGTCGCGGGCTGCGCTGCACGCTTTGCAAAAGCAGGGAGCCTTCAAACCATGGTTTTGAGAGTAGTGGTTCGAATCGAATAGCGCTGTGTCATTCGTAGCCGTGACAATGCAAAGGATAGCCGAGAACCTGTTCTTTCAACAGTGAAGAAGCTGAGGATGACGCTGCACAGTTCGATTCAAACCACTATTCGCGCACCTAAGTTCAGACGCGTCCCTCTGCGGAAGGTATTTACTCCGATCCAAGTCGGAGCGCAACCGAAACAACCATCCGATGGTGTCGACCAAAGAGCGTCAAAAATGCTTCGCCACGGCGTCTTTGGGGCGTTTCCTATCAAAATGTAAACCAATCACACACAGTGAATATGTGTCTTTGTGCTTGGTCTGGTGATAGGAAATGCACAAAGACGAGGAGGGCCGTGACGAAGCAGTTTTGACGCTGTTTGATCGGTTCCAACGGATCATAGCGTTGGCTGCGCTCAGATAGTCTGAACGAAAAACAGGCACTCTCCAAGGTAAGGCCCATACACACAGTCGCGTTTGAGAGCGATCGAGAGCGTCGCGGCTGCGAAAAACCGGGACATCCCCGCTTCGTATATCACATGCCAAGCTACTGCTTGAGATGAATTCCGCCCTTCGCACGAAGCGCATATCTGCCGGTGACTCGCTTCCGTTTCTCGACGCAGCGCCGTCAAACGCTTTCAAACGCGATAGTGTGCATGGGCCTTTATCGGGTGGCTGCGGCTTATGCCTTAGCCTCCTATATACTAACAAAGCCTGGCAGACCGCCACGATAAGCGGCCGCCGAAACGGAAAAGGTGGAGCAGCAGACAACGGAGGAGAGGAGAGCCACGTAGCTGGCGCCCCCCTGCGGCGAGATACCGAAACACACTTCTTCCAAGCGGACAAATGTGTTTCGGGTCCTCGCCGCTGCTAAAGCTGTGTGCTGACGTCCAGGTTCCCCGAAAAATGTCTCTTTGATGCTCTGTGCTACCAGACCCACGCTTGAAATCTGCGACCGGGCACTCATGGCTCCGTCGTCAAACTGCCAGGCTATGGAGTATAGAGGAGGCTATGCTTATGCATACGACGCGTGAACGAAAGAAGGTAAAAGAGGCTGAGAAAGAAGAGGAGCTCACCACTTGACTTCCTTGGCCTTGCCGCAAAGCGGAATAAACACCTGGGCGTCTCGTTTGTTGGCCAAGACTTCATTCTCGTGCGCTGTCAATAATCTGCGCAACGATAAACGGATGTGCGTGCATTTTTACGCTTTTATTATACACGTGTTCGCGCTTTCCAGGGAAAGCGTTTACATACCAACAGTGTTTATATAGCAATAGTGTTTACATAGACTTTACCGAAAAAAGTAATGAAATACGTTACTCATTAGTGTAAAATAAAGGTATCCGTTACTGAGCTACGTTACCTCACAAAAAAGGAACGCGTTACCGTTACCGATAAAAAGTAATGCACGTTACTTTTACGTTATTTTTGACACGTTGTACTGTTTTGACGTTACAGTTATGCAAGCCCCATATTTCGAAAAACATTATATTCAAGCAGATCTTTTTACGGTTTCACCTAAATATTTGCGCAAGAAAAACGCAGAGGAACCGCAAAAGAAAGAAACTGAAAAATTAACGTGACTTGGCGACAAAAACACGAAAAAAATGAAGCGTAATTTTTTTTACTTTTAGGAAGAAAAAGTAACGAGCAACGTAACTACGTCGCACGTTACTTGAAATAAGTAACCTAAGTACGTTACAGATTACTGTTTTGAACAAAAAAAAACAAAAAAACTAAAGAGTCCGGTAACGCCGTTACTTGTAACACAATACCGCAGACACTGCATAGAGACAAACCTACGTGTCTCTTGGCGTTAGCTTGTCCGTTTGTAAAGTTTCTCAGTGACTCGATTTATGTACAACTACAAAAACCTTTTCGCTGAACCACTGTCTGTAGGGGGTTGAGGACGCGTCAAGCTGCTCTATACACTCCGTGCGGGAACTATAGAGGGCGCTTTGAAAAACGCGCGTAGCGCCGCTAGCGGAGTAGCTGGCGTTCGACAGCGAGGCGCGCTCAGCAGCCTGCGGCGCCTTTTCGCGTGCGAAGCTGTGGCGGCGGAAGCGCGCACGGACGGAACTTTTGCTTTTTGAGCCGATAAGTTGAGGGTAACGTTGCATGAGTGCTGGGACAGACGTAAGAAGGACATTGAGCTGTTCTCCGCTTCTTATATATTGAGTTTGAGTCGTTATTAGGGGTAATTTCTTTAGTTGCGGTCTAAAAAGGGGTTTGAGCAATTTTCCGAAAAGCAAGACGGCCGCCACCATAATTGCTCTCAGTGGGAAATTTGTTTCGCTCGTCGCTGTAGACGTAGGACTGCTGGGACGATGATATTTGGAGGCGAGTGAAATGTTCACTAAGTTTGTGCACTAAATGGGCCAAGTTTTATTAAGACAGCAGGTGTGAAAGTTATGGTTCTAACGAATAAATTAATAAAGCTGTCAGGAATATCCAATATTGGATCCAAAATGTTGTGTTATAACCGGGCTGTGCGAAGTGGAGATTTGGACACACAGGTTCTTGGACATGACCGTAACTTGACACAACAGTTATAATAGCAAAAATAGGTGGCATAGGAAAACCAGGTAGAAATTTGGTTTGGACGGCGTAACTGAATGGGAAACGTTTTACCGTGAAAGGGGTGTGAATAGAATACCACTCGTTGTGGAAGATGGAGACTTAACAGGTAGGAAGAGACTGCTACACTGTACTTTCAATTGAAACAACTTTACGAAAGGTGGCTTCAAAACCGAGAAAACCAAGTTGCCGGCCAACACACGGTTTGGCCGTCAAAGGCTTTTGTGGTCAGCTGTTGTTTAGTAATACGGTTGTGCGAGGTGCTCAGCTCGGACTCGGCGGACCTCCAATGGGCCCTGGCGGAGCAAGCGCTCCTTTTCACAAGGCCGTAGTTTTTGGCTTTTAATAAAGTTGTTCTCCTCCTCCTCCTCGACACACAGGTGCTTGGACAGCCGTAACTTGACAAAACACTTATTATACGATACCTAAAAGAGGTGGCATAGCTTAACCAGGAGAAATATTTTTGGGCATCGTAACTAAATGAGAACCGGTTTTGACCACCAAAGGCTGTCAAGAGAATACCACTCATCATGGCCGGGAGGTGCAAACTTTACAGGTAGGAAGGGACCAGTGGACGGTACTTCCAGTTCGAACAAGTTTGCGATAGGTGGCTCTAAACCCGAGAAAAGAAATTGTTGCCTACAAGACTCAGGGTGTCAGCGTTTCCACATCCAAAAGGATGCTGATCAAAAAAGAAAGCACACCACATAAACTTCCATACTCAGACATCGATTGTCCAGCGATTCCAAGTTTCATTGCAGTTTTCCTTAGATTCATATTTGTCACTTTTTGTACCGTCCGAATCTTTCTTCAAGAAGTGCAGACTGCGTGCCATACTGGTCCGGAAATATCATCGACACGTACGATGGGGATGAAACTTATTTGGAGGGCATTCCTTCAACGAAATTTGCACTGCATAGCCGCGAGTGTGGGATGGAATTTCAGTTCGAGCTGAGACATGTAGGCGTTACTGGTACGAAAACAAACGCAGAGCGCAAAGCGGCAGTGTAGAATATGTCAGCCGTGCCGACACAGTGGCAGACATGATCGGGAGTCAAAATTTCTCGCGTCGTACGGCACGGGTCCATCGTTGTCGCTGTCCCACAAAACATCGGCGAGGTGAAAAACTGCGAAACTTCGTCCCCACGAGATACGACGCATAACTATTGGAACAGTTAACGACGCAGCAGTTCATGCTGTCAACCCAGCGCAACCGCACCGCTCCGACTTCAATGCGTACCAATGTACGCGACGTGGTTTCGTTTCGCTGGGGCACTCACTGCCTACCTTCGGTAACGGCCGCGCGGCGGCGCGCCGGTCGCGTCGCACGGAGTGTATAGCAGCTTTTTTCCTCCACCTCCCCCATTTTCGATGGAAATAAAGGAATTATCTTATCTTAACTTACAGGTTGTTTTTTTTTGTCTGGAGGGCGACTGCTTTACATACATGTCTTGAACTGACGTCACATGGCATACTTTTGACCCACATGTAAAAATAGAGGGAAGCTGCTTTTGTAAGAATTTTGAGTGACTGGTTAATCTTCTATATTTCTTCTGGGAGGAGAAAAGCGACGTCTCTGTAAATCCGGGAGGCACAAAAGAGGCTCCTGGTAAGAGGGGAGCTCCTTCTTCCCCTCTTCTCCGGTGGTCATCGGAGCGCTCTTTGAATTACGTCATGTGCAAGCCATGTAGAGTTTCGGTAAGCTTTCGGGGCTTGCACAGACTAAAAAGAACGTGCAGTGCCCAGAATCCTTGCGGTCAGACGTAGTTGTAAAACAATCGCGCGCCTTAAAGAAATTTGAAATATACCTGCCGTGTTCAGAAATAGGCTGAATATAATCCACAATATCCGTAAATGACAATCGCACGTTTCCATCTTGAGCCTGATGGCTGTATTTTTCGTTAGAAACGGCCCGCTCTGGCAAGCGCTCGGAGAGCAGCCAGCGGAGGGCACGTCACATCCGGCGTTATCGTGACGTAATCTGTCTCGGGATGAGCAAAGCTTTGGCGAGGCTGACGTCGTCAGGATGCCCTAGCCGTTCCAGCCACCGAAGTGGTCGAAGCACGCCACAAATCGGGCCACCGCAACTAACCGCAAAGCTGCTTTTGTGTGAATCTTGAGTGACAGGTTAATCTTCTATAATCTTGTAGAGGGACAATATTGACGTCTGGGACACACTAAAGAGAGTCCTGTTGATCGTGGACTTCCTCCCCTCTTCTCTTGTGCTGGCCGTAGAGCTGTCGGGATGACGTCATGTTCAAAGCATGTATTGTTCTAGGCGAGACAGTTATCGTCACTCCCTGTCAAGGTTCCTAGACGGGCATTACAAACGAGGCTTTAGCGACATCCACCAGGTGCTCTTCGCTAATCGTTTATTTTTGTTTTAAGGTTTCTTTTCGTGACTTTTTTAACAAGATATTGGTGTGTCCGATATGATTCTGCTCCTGTGAACATGTATAGACCAAAAAATAAGCGCCGATATTTCGTTGCAGTATTCCTTTAAAGCAGACCGGAATCGGAGGAAAAACCCCACTTCCAGCATGTACAGCAAATGCCGTACACGGCATCTGCTTTGTCCTGTAAGAACAGCTCTTTAGAAGCCTGAAAGGTAGAAAGCCAGTTTAGGTGCTTCAAGAGCGAGTCTGACCACCGTGGTTGGAGAATGCTTTGTCAGGGCACCAGTCTAGCGACCTTCGGTACGCTTTAGCAAGGTTTTACTATCAGACGATCTAAACAGCAGCAAGATGGCAGCGCCCAGAGGTCCTAATTGCAAACATGAATAATGTGAGTCAGTCAGTCCCGTACTGAAGGTAAAATATTTTCTGAACTCACGGATGGATGTCTGGCCTGTTCCACGGAGTGTTTCCGGTCTCCCAACGGTTGGACCAGTAGTCCCACAGCGGCTTCTGCATGATCTCCGCCATCTTGGTGCGCGCGTCGCAATCGACTAAAACGCACAAAGAGGGATAATTGCCTTTAATAATTGAAATACTGAGACTGAGGGACAAAAACACAACAGCTCGGAGCACATGGAACGAAAGCTCGCGCCGGAGAACTTATAAGGACCCTGGGTTCAGTCCCCATTCCTGCCCGTTCCGATCTGGATTGAGCGGTACCGGCGTACGGTCGTGTGTGACTCCTGCTGGATGCACGTTAAAGACCCTAGGCTAGCAGTCATACTCCACTGGCGAAACTTCTCGTCTGCAGCTAAGACACGAGACGTTCACTGGGGCTAACTTCCTGCTCTAAACAAACAGACAATACCTTTAAATTACATCATTAGTCGAAGAGTAGCTGAAAATTGCATGTAGACGACACAATAAAACCAGAAATTCAATTAAATGACAGGGGGTGTAGGGAACAACCAATAATATGTTTTCGGGGGTAAGTTTTTCTTCATGCAAAGGTGTGGATTGCTGGGCTAGTTGGCTGTTGCACGACATGATTAGAAAACAGCGCAAAAGTATACGGGACAAAAGTACACATGACAGGGTCTGCCCTGTGTGCTCCTGCTACTTTCGTCCCGTCCTTTTGCGCTGTTTTATTAATCATGTTCCCTTCGTGCGCGGAGAGTTTTTTTAGTGCTTTACATGTATGTTTGAGAAAATCCACGAGAGCTACACTAATGCGGTCTGTGCAGGTGAGTTATACGATTAGGGAGATAGCATAGGGGGATAATTACCACGATAGGTCGGATAACCAAAATGTGTTAATGATGTTTTTAGTTAGTGAAGATAAACATACGATCACAATTAGAAGCTCGCTGAGTATCATTGAAAACCACTAAATCGGTCAATTTCAGAAAGACTGAGCGCGTGGGAAGTGGGGTAGAGCGCTAAAGTTGCCGCTCGTATAACAGGCGCAAAGCTGGCGGTATCTTAAACGCGGTTAATAGGCGAAAAAAGTGACCGAGCACGTTTTCGCTCCTTCAGCCTGTTGCACAAGTAGTAATTTTGACGCCCTTCCCACGCGTTGCAGGCACTTCTAAAAGTTACTCATCTAGTGGTTTTTAATGACGTTCAGCAAGTTTTTAATTAAAACCATATCCTTATCTCCAATAACTAAAAAAATCATCAGCAACCTGCACAAACCGCATTAGTGAAGTTAGATGCCTTTACTGTTTATCTTTAACAAAGTCTAAAAAGAAAGCCTGGTATCATTGGAATATCGTACACGGTTTTCTCGACCCAGCGATAGTAAAAGACTTACCTTAAAAGTAATCTCTCGCACCTTTTCCAGTAGCCCAAAGTGCAGTACTACTTCCAACAGAGCCCCTTCGCAATTTGAAAGCGGACAAGTACCTGGCATTCTTTTTTTTTTCATAGAATGAGCTTATCTCGATCATCCGACAGGCCTTGGATAACGGGAGCAGTGACGATCGTGTTGAAGTCCACACAGCGCTCCGTTTACATTCGAAGGGAAAACGTCGAGTTGTTCCGGGCACACGAAGATGAAAGTCTATAGCCTCTCTAGATTACAGTACCTTTCCGGACTGTAGTCTGCGGACCATAGACGTTTGAACGTTGCAATCTTGCGCGGTGCGATCCATCTATACAGGAGCGACCTAGGATTTGCATTTTCTAGATCGTTCATTATGAAGGAGTGACATGATTTGCTAATGGCAGAGTATGGTGACGAGGACTTACGTTGTGAGCTAATCAAGCAGACATTTGTCAAGGTGCGCCGCGTATGAGAATGTTGGCGTACGGATTAGCCTATAGGTGCATACAATACTCCAAATGCGGACTATCTAAAGAAACTATTTTCAACAGCAATTTACCCCTCCAAACTGTACACCGAGTGTGAACCGGAAAATGCGGTAATATACCATGGTTGACAGTGCGGCGGAGGACATAAGTATACCGGCAGGACCAGTCAATCAGCTGTCGCTTTGTCAGTCGTGCACTTGCACGGCTGATTTGGCTATTATTAATAATAATAAGAAGAAGAAGAAGGAGAAGAAAAAGAAGAGGAAGAAGAAGAAGAAGAAGAAGAGAGAAGAAGAACGCTTCATTTTTCTCGTATACCCGCATACAACCATATCGGCCTCCTGTGTGGGGCACAGTAACATCAAACCGAAAAGCCACTATTAAAACTCAAACAACAGACGCTAGAGGAACAAAGCAAACACTGATACGAGACATGCCTTGGCGTACCCGGAAAGTTAACATCCATTTACGCCTAATGTAAATGAGAATCATCGAAACAAGTAAAAAATATAAAATTTATCTCGGTGTACAGTATTATAATGTTTCTGAATTCCTGATTACGTGGACATTAAAAACATACATGACGGATAAAAGGTTGAGACGCTCCGGCTGACCCGAGACGGCACGTGACAATATATCGACTGCAAAAACTCATTGTTTTCACTCCGGCATAAACAACTCTACGTAAAAATAAGAAGTCTCTGAATTGCTTCCTTTAAGCCAACCTAGACAACTCAATTTTTAGCAGTAACAATGTGTTGGCGGTTGTTTGTAAATGCCAGCCCAAATTCAACAATATAACATCACCTGGAGGGGCACAGATAAAACCTCCAGAAAATTATTGGAAGCAGATAACAAAGAATTTGCAAGATGCATGCTTCAGCCCAACATCGGTTTTTCTCCACAAAAAAATAAATTTCTCGTCTTTACACGTGCTGAAGCGATAGTGCGGTTTACTTAGTTGGTGTTTTTTTTTTTGCTTTGTTTTTTGAAAATAAATTAGTTGTAAGTTTAGCGCTTGTGTCATTCGCATTTTCCCTCTTGTCCTTGGCCGTATTTTTTGCGCGTTGTTTATTTCCCATTCTAAGGAAATAAGTAAGGTAAGTAAGTAATATCCGTTACTGTTCTTAAAATTCAACGACAGCAATACGAGGTTACCGGTAACGCCGTTCCTTGTATGACGATCTCACTGATCGTACATACAGCGTCTGTAGACACGTTGGAAGCAGACAAAGCATGCTCGGAACATGCTCTGCCGCAGAATCACAGCAGCGAAAGTTTTTTCTTGACTGCGGCTTTAGTGTTTACCATCCATAAGGAATGCATAGGTAGAAAAAAAAAAAAAAAGATCAAAGACGTTTTCGATAGGCAGTTCGCAGGATCTCATTCCCGCACCGACATTATCTTCGCAGACTGTCTGGCGCGTAGATATCATCGACCTTGAACGACGAGGGTATGAATCGCACTCGATCGCACGATAGAAATATCGCCAACTATCCGGGCGGAAAAGCAACGTTCTCTGTCTAATGTACAAAGTGTGCATTAGAGAAATGTACACGTTGTACATTTTTTAAATGTACAGAAAAATGTACAAAAACGTTTTTTTACTGCACGGTTTGAACCAGATGCCCAAACTTCGGAACTAACCGTTATCAATCAACCAGTCTGTGCTTATTAAAGTGTCCAGGAACAACCAATCGGTCTTAGTGCTGGCACACTCAAAACAAAAAAATTAACGAGTACGAAAGACACTAAAATCAACAAAGGAAATCAAAAGCACAACACAGAGACTCCCCAAGTGTCAGAGCAAAAAGCAAATACTTGGATATCTTACTACAAACATCAACCCTTCAACTGATCAGCCCTTCTCTTGCAAAAGGAAGTTTCGAACAGCGTTTCCGAACTTGCTCCCGCATGAGTTAAAAATATCGAGTGAATCAGAGTCGCGGTTATTACACTCAGCCGATCTTTGGATCGGGTTTAAGTGGCTAAGATGTCGAGCTATTTAAAACTGGTGATTGAAGCCGTGTAAGCACACGTGGAACTCTAAGGCTTACTTCGGACAGAAGGCTGGGAGAGTTAATCGAGCCGTGCAGGGTCTTAAACCGAAACAACTGGTCTGCCTTCACCCAACGCGCTGCGGGCTCAACAAGTAGACGAGTTGCGGGTTACACCCAACGTTTAAACAAGGATCTCCTTTCTCAAGGTAACGATATTTAAAGATAGAGATAAATTTGTTTTGGACTCGCCCGGCAGATAAATTGTTAGTTTTGGAAGTGCCGTTCCAAACAACCGAGGCGTACTCTAGCTGAGATCTAACTAAGGAACAATACAGCGTAAAAAAAGCGGACGGGCTTTTGAATTCCTTGGTTATGCGAGACACGGCACGTAACGTGCGCAAGGCCGATTGAACCACTCTGGTAACGTAAATGTCAAATCTCAGGGCTGAATCAAAGACAACTCCAAGGTCTCTCAGTGTACTTACACGTGAGAGCAGTTCGCCATGACAACTATATCGAAAAAAATATATCGTGGGTCTTGCGAGAATATGTCATTACTTTTGTTTTAGAATGATTCAAACGAAGGTCATTGTCTAAACACCAACGACAGAAGGAATATACGTCATTTCGAAGCGCGATGCAATCCTCTAAGATCGATCTTTTTTTTTTGTGTAAAGTTTTATATTATCAGCGTACTGCAGGAATGAAGAATTTAATATAATTGGAGAGACATCATTTGCAAAAATATTAAAAAGGAGGGGGCCCAAGACAGATCATTGAGGCACTCCAGAGCGTGCAGTACAAGGGCGAGATAGCATTGTTGACGCGGACGTAGGCTTGCCTATCAGGCAAATAGCTTTGTAACAAATTGTATACCGAACCACATACTCCATACGAGGAAAGCTTGCATAAGAGGGTGTTGTGGTTGACTACGTCGAAGGCCTTACTCAGGTCGAAATAAAAAAAGTGGAAGCCGTTTACAAATCCCTGTAACGCCGAATTGGAGCGCAGCTCTTGAGGAGGAGGAGTGAAGGGTACTGAGGGGAGGGTAGACCCCTCCCCCTTCTCCTCCTCCTCCCCTCATTCTTTAATATGCTCCGGGGGGGGGGGGTGTCACGTGACTTCGGGGAGGGGGTCACGTGACCTCGGGGAGGCGTGACCTGGGGATGACCTCAAGGCCACGTGACCCCAAAGGTGACCCCCACGTGACCTTGGGGTCACGTGACCTGGAGGGGTCACGTGACCTCAGAGGGGTCACGTGACCTGGGGGTCACGTGGGGTCACGTGACCTTGAGATGACCTTGGAAGGGGTCACGTGACCTTGGGGGTCACGTGACCTCGGGGGTCACGTGACCTTGGGGAGGCGACCACGTGACCTCGGGGGTCACGTGACCTCAGAGGGGTCACGTGACTTGGGGGTCACGTGACCTTCAAAGGGTCACGTGGGGTCATCTTGGGGTCACGTGACCTTGAGATGACCTTGGAAGGGGTCACGTGACCTCGAGGGGTCACGTGACCTTCAGGGGGTCACGTGGGGTCACGTGACCTTGAGATGACCTTGGGAGGGGTCACGTGACCTTGGGATGACCTTGGTTACGCCGACGGCGACGGCGACGCCGACGCCGACGGCGACGCCGCTCAAGCCGGGAACGGGCCCCTAAGAGCTGCGCTCTAAAACGCCAAGCTGACCTCTATTACAAACTACTTCAGATGCAGAAGACGTAAAAAGATACGAGATTGGTGGATGTCGATCTGCCGGACATGAAGCCATGCTGACTAGGAATGACTATACTACGTAACTTGAGTTAGAGGAATTGATGGATTACCATTTCAAAGAGTTTGGAAAAAGAAGAGTGAAGAGAAATCGGTCTGTAATTAAGAACATCACCACTATTTCTAGATTTCAGGACCGAAACAGCCACTGCCACTTTCCAGTCGTCAGGGAATATTCCTGACGTCAAGGACTTATTAAAAATAGTGCTTGAAATATTGTCACTTCAAGTATGGGCAAAAGCATTGTTTTGTCGTCGCCACGCCAATAGAAAGCATTTAGGAGATAAGCGTAACCGTCACCCATTCTTGTCTTGTCTCCCCTCTATTTTTTTACTATTTGCAAGTTGAAACGCTTTAATATTTTTTCGTCGCCCATACCGGATATGCCTACTTGAAGGTCGGGGGTGAGAGTAAGCGGAAAAGGTCTTTAGGCGTAAGTAATTCATGATAAGCCTTAACAATTGCAGCGGGTATCCCGTCATGACCTGCAGACAACGTGGGTCTCATTTTCTTAATGCATTGCCTAACACATTCCACATCGACAACTACAGACCTATAACAAGTCATCAAACCCGTTAGGTTCTGTAGTTGTCGATTAGGAATGTGTTAGGTTAGTTTAGGTTAGGTTAATAATAATAATAATGATGATGATGATGATGACGATGACGATTATGGCGATAATAATATTGCCAATAATAATATTAATAATATTGCTCTATTTTTTCTTAGTGCTCCCACAAAGCTATGGATTCTTATGTGTGCCAGTTCGTGTTTAGAGCAACACAATTTAAAGTGTGCAGAAATTAACATGAGAAGAGACAGGATTACATTTTTGTGAAGCAGCAT